ATACCATGGTCTAAAGTAAAAATTTCTGTTTTAGTAGTTTTTACATAATCACACAAAAGTATTACATTTTATATTCATAATTTTTACTTCCTTAAATAATACCAGAAAAGACCCTAAAAATTATCAACTCAAACCCCCTACTTTTATAAGTAAGGAAACCAAGGTCTACAAGAGCAAATGAGTTGCCCCAGGTCATACTGGCAACCAGAGGCAGAGTGTAAACTCAAACTGAGGTCTCCAGTCTCTCCAATTTAGAGTTCTTTTTACTAGATGAAGAACTTTCATATCTAAACACGCCTTATAAGAGTGTGGTCATACACACACACGTGTGTATATATCTATAGACATACACATATACATGTCTGTACGTATACACATACACATATCTACATACATACTTTTGTAGCACTTGAAAAAAACAGGCTGTTCAGAAATCTACTAAAACAAGTTTACCAGGTAACTAAAAAGACTAGTCCTGGGATAAGACATTCATGTTTTCTGAATGACCCACTAAAAACCATATCTCGATGTCTATGCTTGTATTTATTTTAATATATTAATTTTATGAGGCATAATGGTGAAGAGCATAGGCTTTAGACCTGCTTGGACTCCTCTAATTCTAGCTCTGACATTTAAGTAGTCATGTAACCGTGGGCAAATCAGCTTAACCTTTCTAAGCCTGTTTCCTCTCCTGCAAAACTGTTAGGGAAAAACAAAACTGACTTGATGTGGTACTTGTGAAGATTAAACAGAGGATGAACATACAGGACTCAGCCCAGGACTAGTGCTTACACAGTAACTTAGCTATTATTATCATTATCACTGCCTACTAATCTTTCGGTTTTCTACAAAAGTTTTCTTAATTTTTTTTTTTTTTAATCCTCACCCAAGGACATTTTTTTTTCTGTTGCTCTTCAGAGAGAGTGGAAGGGAGAGAGAGAGAAAAACAGGGAAGTAAGAGAGACACATTGACTGGATGCCTCCTGCATGCCCCAACTGCGGCAGGTACCGAGCCTGCAACCCAGGAACCTGCCCTTGGCCCAGATCAAACCTGGGACCCTTCAGTCCACAGGCCGATGCTCTAACCACTGTGCCAAACAAAAGTTTTCTACGTATTTAAAACACACACACACACACACACAATTATATATTATCTGTTCTTTAGAAAGTAAAGAAGCCTAAGAATCCTATTCAAGAAAACTCCTTCTGCCCCAGCCAGGTGGCTCAGTTGGTTGGAACGTCCTCTCATACACCAAAAAGGTTTCGAATTTGATTCCCCATCACAGCACATGTCTACATCGCGGTTAGATCCCTGGTTGGGGTGTGTACAAGAGGCAACCCATTCATGCTTCTCTCTCCCTTCCTCTCTCTAAAAATCAATAAACACATACAGTGGTACCTCAGTTTTCGAGCGTCTCTGTTGACGAACATTTCGGTTTCCAAATGCCGTAAACCCAGAAGTAAATGCTCTGGTTTCCGAACACGCCTCGGAAATCAAACACGCCACGCGGCTTCCACTGAGGGTAAGATCCCGAGGCTCAGCTGTCAGCTGTGGATCCCTCGGTTTTCCAACGTTTCAGAACTCGAACGGTCTTCCGGAACAGATCACATTTGAAAACCGAGGGACCACAGTACTCAGATGAGGATTAGAAAAAGACCGAAACTCCTGCTTTTCTTTTTCGGAGATCAAACTCTTATTCCAAATTGATTTTTAAATTCTAAAAACATCCAGAGTTCAGAATTTAAAAACACAAATTGTTTTTTGCCTTCTCACAGTTTTCCATTCTTTGGAACAAAATTAGTTTAGTTGCCTAAATTCTGCAGAGGAAATACAATTGACTGAGAAAATGAATCCCCCTGCTTCTCACTGCAGTAACCAGTTGGTGTTCAGACACAAAGGACACTATCTCATTTATGATGACAGTAAGAGCAAATTATTTCCAAGATTTACTAGGCATATATATTTTTTATTATTACTATTCTTCCTTACTCCTCACCCAAGGATACTTTTTCCATTGCTTTTCAGAGGGAGTGGAAGGGGTGGGGGGCAGATGTGAGAGAGACACATGGATTGGTTGCCCCCACACCCACCCAGACCAGGGCAGGGGATGGAGCCTGCCTCCGAGGTATGTGCCCTTAGCCACCATCGAACCCAGGACCCTTCAATCCATGGGCCGATGCTGAGCCAAACTGGTCAGAGCACATGCATTTAGTTTTTAACTATTAGAATCTGAAATTAACGCAATTATAAAAAGCCCTTTTTCCACGTATTTACATAATCATGCCTCAAATGAAGTATTTCCCCTGGCATCACATTCCTAAAATGCTAAGTTTATCTAAGTGCAGTATACTAGCAGTATAGGATTACGAATTCTTTAACTCAAAGAAATGACCTTTCAAGCTGTGTATTTCCTAACACTTAATAATTTAAGAAGCTAACTCCTTTACTCTAAATTTTTTTCTAATCATTCATGTTGTATGATGCTCGCTGGACAACCGAAAGGATACAACATTTAAATTCATTCATTTCAATAGTCAAATTTGTCTAAACAAAACATTTCATTTTACTGTAAATCTTAAGACTCTTTTTGAAGGTGCTACTGTCTGGGTTCTGAGAGTACTCTGAAATTTCAGTTACAGGATATAAAATTTAATTTGAAAGTAAATCAATACTAGAAAAATTATTTGATCATCATCTTTTTATAAAAGATTAAACAGCTACAAATTTTATTTTACCAGGACTAAAATGCACTAAATTACATTTCACTGACATAAGATCAAAAGAACCTCATAAATACAATGCAGTACTTTACCAGAGTGAGGTTATAAAAAAGAAGCTAAGGCAAAAAGTATTGCCTCTAGAAAACAAACACTGTTTTAAGTAACTTTAAAACTCTCTTGACATCTGATCCATTTTTAAAAAAGTTTATCCTATAAACAAAATCATTAAAGACTGCTGGAAAACACCCCCAAAGAATTATAAATAAAAAGTTATTTTTTTTTCCAAAATGCAGTGCTACTTTTCAGCTATCACAAATGACTAAGAAATGTTCATATAGTATACATTCATCTATTCTTAAGCTGTATAATGCTTCTAAAATTATTCCTAGCCTAAATTAAAACCTGACCATAAAATGTGGTTTAAAGTACCTCTTGATAATATACAATATTACAGGTTTTAAGTAAAACATAAAATCAAAGTTAATAAAATTTGTAGATTTTATTAGCTTAAATCAGTAATTTATAAAAACAGAGCTGGCTTCTCTCAGAGAAATTAAAAATAATTTAAAGTCACCAAAACTCTATAAAACAAATGACAGACTGGTCAAATGTACAACAATGTCTAATCTCATGGGATTGGAGATTTTATGAATATGCAAAAAATTACATAATATTGGGGGATGGGAAGATGGTCTAAGGTTTTTGAAAAATACTGTATGGGAAGTTAACAGGATAACTTTTTTAAGATATGTGTTATTACAGAGTAATACTTCAACAAGAAATGTAATTAAACAGTCAACACTATCTCCAGACACTGATTTCTCAAATGTCACCAGACTATTCATTCTGCTAAAAAGTACTTTTCAATACATGCAGCACTGAGAGTCTCAAGTTTTCAAATCCCTATCTTTTGAAGATTATCTGTACTGCTTTACTGCTGCATATAAGCCCTGAAATGCACATTCCAAAATTAGAATTACTATGTTACTCTTAAGAGTACATTTTAAGTTTTTTAGAACGGTATGTCAGTAAATCTAAGAAAAAAATGTTGAATAAATATACACTTCCTTTTCCAATATCCAGAATACTAAAGTAGTTATAAATATGGCTTCCCTCCCACACCCCCAGGTAACTTACTTCAGCTCTATGAATGGTTTCATTTTTTAGTGCTTATATAGTTCTGAACATACCCTCCTTACCTCACTTGCAAAAAAAGCAATTATTTTCATTGTTAAACAACAGCTAACCAAACTAACAGAGATGGTCAAGGAAAGCTACTTTGTTTATAATAAAATCTAAAGATTATATAATAAGCTTTGATATTTTCTTTCCAGCAATTTTCTATAAGGCCAAAGGCAACAGAGACAACACCCGTTTTTACAAGAGGAAAACAAGGCGTTAATTAAATACATTTTCTCCTGAACTAAGAATTGCCTTCGCTTTTGTCAATATTACAAGACATTCATCTACTGACAAAGGAAAAATGAACACTTCACTTGCCTGTTTAAGAAACTAAATTGGGAGCATTACCAGTCATAGACTTAATTGAGTTATTAATAGGGAAGAATATCTAAAGCAAAGCGACTATTTAAAGTTCACTGCCAGCTGCTAAATTTGGGGGGACTCGCCCGAACAAGAAGATAACCCCTATTTGTCACAGCCTTTTCCCCACCACCCACCCTGCACCAAACTCCCATTGTTCTATGTAAAACTCACAGCTAATGGTATCTAAACAGCAACTGCTACATTTACGTTTCAGATGATCACTCTGAGGAACTCTTCAGACTGGATTTACCTGCTGCTCTCTTTCCCCCCAATAAAATCCAAATTTGACCATAAATCAGTCACAAACTGGTATAGAAAAGGATCACAGCTTCCCTTCCAGCCTGGTGGATGTCACTCCAGAGTAGGTGAGGAAATCCCCATAAGTTTACAATAATAAATCTACACCCCCCCCAAAAAAAAAAATTTAAACTGACGTATCATAACGAATTTATTCTTTTAAATCTAGTACCGAAACCCTTGAAAAGTATACAGCCTACGGAGTAGACGCTTTTCCCTGGGAGCTACCAAAGTAGAAGCCAGAGGCGGCAGCACGAAGGATTTCGTGCGGGTCCGGATCCCTCGCACACCACTTCCTCCCCGAACCTGGCCGGCAGGGCAGATGCGGGTGTCGAGGAAGTGGGAGCCCGGCCTCCGGCGCCCCGCTCCCCCGCGGCTACCTGCCCGGGCCTGCGGGAGCGCCGCCCAGCGCGGACACCGCACAGACAAACACTCACCCATCTTTCCTCTTGGCTTTGTAGACGTGACCGTAAGTGCCTCGGCCAACTTTGCAGCCCTCGTATTCAAACAGGTCCTCGACCCGCTCCCGCTCGCTGCTCAGCTTCACTTTAAAGTCATAGTCCATTGTCACAGCCTCCGAGGCCGGGGGACTGGGGTCGGGGGACCAGGGGACAC